TTTGAGATCAGCGTTTGAAACCACCTACGGCAGTATACATCTTATCTTGAATGGCCACTGCGACCAAGTATCCTTCCCTTGTAAGGAATCTCCACTCGATATATGGTCCGATAGGATTTGGCGGACCTCTTCTGGTCAGACAAAAATGCTTGCTCCGGTCTATATTGGAAACCACAAAAGAGTGGACTGCCCCTGTCGAAATGGAATTGACGCACGAATGGACTACCACCGCAGAAAAGGTGAGCAATGCTCGAATAGAAGTTCCAAGAATGATGTTTCCTTATGCGCACACTACTATCACCCAACCATGGATCTTTGCCGCCAAGCCATGGCTGTGTGTGCATTCATATAGCGTGAATTCGAAGCAGTTTCTACACTGCTGAGCGGCAAAACGAAACCAGCTCCTCGGAAACATTTGGTGCTCATACAGAAACTCGAATTATTGACAACGTTAGTGGCACTACGCCTTGCCGATGCCATCTACTCGGCACGTTCTGCGGGATCTACTCAGATCAATATAGTCAGCGACAGTCTTATAGCCCTAAACAGGATCCGTACATCAAAAAGGCTTCCTCTCTGTATCACTTATCAGAGAGATCATTCAGGTCCATTATCAGTAGACTGACATCGTTGGGGCAGAAAGTTGAGCTTTTTCATGTACCTGATGAGAAAGACCCACAGATGCGGGCACCCGAGGAGTGACCGCTGCTTAGCTCCCATTAATGGACTGGATCAGAGGCTACCAATGGCCTTTTTCCGAGAAAACAGCCTTAACGAACATCAAGTGCATCGAGGTTTTCCCCTTTGATACCACACAAGAGGAGGAAATAGTATTCGCTTTAGCAATAGAAGTCGAATAGAAACATGGGGTCGAAAATTCAGTCGCCCTACAAAGATTCAGTAGTCTGTCGAAAGCCGTGAGAAAGCCGCGGCATGCGTGACGAAGTTTATACAACGACTTGCAGAGCGAATGAATAGGAACAAAGGTCGTAACTTGCGACTTAGTAGCGTGTCTCTGTTCGATACAGACCCATATAACACAGCTAAAGACATAGAACCCGCTGAAGAGATGATATCCATGTATAAACACAAAGGAATTAGCCTGAAGGAGTTGCAAACTCGTAATAAGGATAAGAACTCAACTTCGAAACGATTAGGGAATAATACGTTGTACCTCCAGGTTGGAGAATGCTCTTCTACCCTGCGATGCTCGGAGTCCGATTTACATATAAGCGCACTCGGAGCTCATGAGGCTCATTCTCACGGACTCACATAGGAACAACGCACATTGTGGGAGGAACCATCTTCTAACGCTGGGCCCGACAATGCTTTTGGTTGTCGCGCCCTTCGAGACACGCACGGCGCACCCTCAACCAGTGCTCAGTTTGTCGCCGAGCACAAAGTCTCCCATTTAGACTACCAGACGTGGCCCCGCTGCCTTCTGTCCGCGTTCGACGCGCCAGACCATCACACAGGTTGTGATCTCCTAGGAACATACACCATGAATGGCAATGCGAAGGCGTACGTGTGCCTAAACACAAGTCCCCTTACACGAGCATCCATCTTGAGTTTGTTGAGAACCTGTCAGCTACCGCTCTTGTAAACAGTTTTATTCGCTTCACGGCCGTAGAGTAGTACCGAAGCTTATTCATACCGTTTGTGGCAGCAACTTCATGCTCGGTAAAAAAGTCATCGATTCGTTTTTTGAGCACCTCCCTGCACATTACAGGTCGCTCCACACATACTGCGCCGGAAATAAGATCACCTAGATTTGTAAGGCTCCCGCCTTGGATGAGAGACTGTGGGAGCGGTTGGTTGGATCGATAAAAACCGCATACCAAAAACGTGTGGGTCGGAAAAATTGTCATTCGCAGAAATGACCACAGTCATTGCTCGAATTGGCCATCATCAACTTTAGACCTCTAACAGCGGTAAACACATCAGATATTGATGTCATCCCACTGCGACCTGTAGATTTCCTACGAGGAAATTTGAAATTTTCTCTTCCAACATGCCGAGAATTCGATAGTGACGATGACTCAACCTATGACGAGGGCGAATTACAGACAGTCCCAGGAGCGAAAGAAGCCTTAAGTTTTCCGAAAGATTCGCCGATAAGTTTTGGAATATATAGAACACCGAATATTTGACACCATTGAGAGAAACGCATAAAAAGCTGTGTAAAATAGGGCGAGTCAACATAAGATCGATCCCGGAAGAAGAGGACACGGCGAACACTGGCCCATGGGTAGAGTAGTTGAACTGCTTCCGAGCGTAGATGGGAAGATCCGTCTTGCCAAGGTGAAAATTCCGCACAGATCAATGCCAGTCCAACGTACAATAAGTAAGTTCTATCCATTGGAAATCAGAGCAACACTGCCACGGCCTGAGGAAAAAACGCAAGCAACTGATGAAGAGACTGAAAGCACAGTGCCATCAACGGCACCCAATGCTCATCCTCGCATGCGTCCGACTTTGCCACGAGCCGCGAAAACGAAAGCCTACGAAGCACTGCAGCAAGAACAGCAAGAACGTTTTTGCGAATGCTGAGAGCACGAACAGTCCGCACAGACGAAAACTGTTCATATGAACGAGGTCTCAAAAAAAACGGGAACCTTACGGGGCATAATTAAATGGCGAGCTTACTCTTTCTGACATTACTTATGATATGTACAGCGCTCACAGTGCGAAAGCCATAAGTTGCTCAAATGACATCGTGACCATTTCGTCACCGCGATCCGCTTTCAAACTGTGCTTTGACATTACGCGCAAACGTTTTGGCGAACAGACGAACACGCTGCAGTACTCGCTGCCACCGTCCCTCACTGATTCACTTTTGTGAGTATACGCCCAAGTTTCTATCAAAACGATTACTTGCCACCCCACGCTGTTGACCCACGCGAGCGCTAATTACCTTGGGGTCATCCTGTACTTTTTCGGGAGTATTCTCATCATGATATTGGCCCGTATGCACAACTCCCGGGGTAGGGGAGGGGGAGGAAGTGTTTGTTTTCGCCGTGGGTCAGATAAGTGACGCTGGAGCGCAGTATTTTACGCCTCTAAGACAGTGTTAAATTGATATCCGAAGCTCTATTTCTCGATTAGATGAACCGGAA